CACTGCTCTATCCGCTGTATCTGTGTCCCTCCCATTGCCCTGCATTGCTTACTTTCCAGCATCCCCAAGTGGCTGCCCTCCATAATCTGTCCAGAGTTTTCAGTTACAGAAGCTAGGCTGCAAGAGGCTTATTTCATTGTGGAGTGAAACGGAAGTTTATACTCACTTTTAAAAGAAATTAATGTTAGTTTCTCAAATAAAACTCTGAATATAATTTCACTTCACAAATTTAGGCTTGGGAAAATGCTATAAATATTTTTATGCCTGTGTCTGCTATTATGAATAAAAATAAAACATAAAAATTTCAGAAAAAAATCATTCATATTTATTCCACATAGAAATTATCTTAATTTTGTGAGCACACATGTCCAGACAGTTTTAAACTTTCATGGAATTTATCTTACCAAAATGTCAAATTTTTGCATAAATACCCCCAGGACTCTCATTAAGATTACTTGTCCCATTCACACAATCTGATATATTTATTCATGAGGCGAATGTCACAGGGAAATGAGCAGTCCAATATATTAACATGGTCAACTTGGTTTCTCCCCAAGATTAGGGCATAAGATGACAATGACTTTCTAACATAAATGAAAAAAACATCAGATTGCCCAAATAAAATTGGATGAAGTAGCTGAACTGATGTGGCACTATTCAAACTCAAGGCATTCTATGAACCAATGCCAGGCATGTTTTACTCGGTCCCTTCAATGAGATTACCGGAGTAGAGTACATGGAGGACAAAGAGGAGAAAGCCTGAAAGAAATGGTAAAAACAGGGGAAAGACAACAAAAATCTGAATGAATGGTCTCAAACATTATCAGTTCAATCCCAATGTAAGGGTAATTAATACATTTTAAGATTAAAAAAAAAGATCTTCCAACAGAGTTATTTTTTCTTTTAAACAAACAGTACACCTTCAGCAAAGCAGTAGAATACAAGATTAACTAAAACATCAGTAGCACTATTATATACAGATGATAAATGAGCTGAGAAAGAGATCAGAGAAACATCACCCTTTACAATTGCCACAAACATAAAATACCTTTGGGTAACTCTAGCCAAACAAGTGAAAGACCTGTATAACAAGAACTTTGAGTCTTCAGGAAAGAAAGTAAAGAAGATACCAGAAAATGGAAAGATCGCCCATGCTCTAGGATCAACATAGCAAAAATGGCAATCTTACCAAAAGCTACAGATTCACTGCAATCCCCATCAAAATCCCAGCACAATTCTTATATTTAATATAGCATCCTGTGTGTTATTTGGGGGCTCAAACAGCTCAGCAGGGCCCGGGAAGACTACACATTACAAAATAGTGTCAGAATGTGGGGCATAAATTTCTACATAGAATGACAAAAGCTTAAGAGGGCATTTTAGAAACAAAAGAACAGAGAGAAACACGGCTTCCTGGTAGCAGCGTTTTTTTTTTCTCAGGTGGGTTCTGTTTTGCTAGAGACAAGCAGACTCATTCACACGGCTCCTTTAAGGGAGTCTTCCTGACTCAGCATAAGTGGAAAAATTGCAAGTCTCTTTTAAGAGGCCCTGCTAACAACTGAATGGTGTGTATGAGCAGCTGGCAGTGGCAGTGACTACCCTCTCCAAGCCAGCAGCAAGCTGCTTGATGGTGGCATAAGCTAAGGCGGTGACCACAGCTCCCAATGCTGGTGGCACACTTACGCCCACTATGTTGGGAAGCCAGCAGCTGTTTCCACTTAAATAATGTTGTTTAGCAGATAACAGACACGTGGCCAGAAAAACATAAGATTTACAATAAAGTCAGATTCAGATGAAGTAAAACCTTGAAAAGTTTTATATTGTGTTTAAAAATATAGGTAGACTTGGGAGAATAATAGAAACAAGATACTGAAAAAAAAAAAGAGTGTAGCTGGGTGTGGTGGCACACGCCTTTAATAGAGAAAATCACCAATGCACTGACCGAGCAGAAGAAAGAGTGTCAAGAACTTACAATAATAATAAAGAAAGAACTGAGCAAGCAAAACCACAAACAAGACTGCAAAAAACTAATGGCTGAAAGGTGAAATATTTAAAAATGACAGGTAAAACTCTCATTACTACTTTTTAAAAATCTCTACTTGAAGTGTATACTAGAAAAAATTAACATATTCCTGAAAAATAAAATATATTTTGAGAAAAAATGTATTTAGCAAATTCTAGAAATTCCAAAATCTAGAACAGCAACTCTATCAGAGGAAAGAAGACACTGACAGTAGTGCCAGCAATGTCAAGAATGCAGCCTTACCTCAAAGCACAGATCAACTCTAGCTGCTAGCTGCTCCTTCAAAGACAAAGCTCTTCAGACAGATGAAACGGAAATGAAATGAAAACAAACCCCAAGCTTTCTACTAACTGAATAGTTTATTCTACCCTGATCAAGAGATACAGGTTAGCCTGGTTAATGTACATGCATTATAAGTCTATAAGAATGTAAAGCCTTTCTATTTTATATAATTTATAAATCTGTTGAATAACAAAATGGTAAAACAAATTCCCAAGCAGAACTAATTTTAAAGTATTACATCAAAATATTTTAGATATTTTTAAATTTTTTTCTTATGTGAAAGATATAATTCCCTCAACAGTTAAATAATCACAAAAAAAGGGTACTAAGAAATGTGCATCCAAAACTCCAGACGGCTCAGGGCAAAGGCAAGTTTAAAAGAAAGCACCAGGGTTCATTCCTTCTTTGATGCTGCTCTCTGCAGAGGCCATCTGTCCTTCCATGTCCACACTGGCAACAGGACTCCCTTCCAGCAGCAATCCCCTGTACCTTCAAACATGAAATGCTTTCCTTCGGGCTTATTATCCTCCTGCCCAACAGCTCTGCTTCTCTTTTCCCTGTAACTAGCATATTCCCAAAATGAATAGGAGATTCACACTATTCTCATTCCATATCTAGTTTCCACGCTTCTAACTGTCCACCCAGGACAGACACGCTCCTCTCTTAATCCCCATCAGCCCCAGTCTCTGCAGTCTCTGAAAACTAGAGCTGCTCTTGCATCTAGCCAACACCTCCAAAAGATGTCTACAGCCCTTGAATTTCATGAGCTCCAAGCCCTTAATTCCACAATTTTAACCTTCTTCTGGAACTCCACCAGTCTAAAATAAAATTCTGTTTTAAAATAAGTTCTTCTACTTGAAACCTATTGGTATCAATAGAGTACCTAATCCAAAAATCAAAAATTCAAAACGTTCTAAATTCGTTAACATTCTGAGTGCCAATGATGCTCAAAGATTCCACTTGGAGAGCATTTAGATTTTAGGTTTTTAGATAGACTTCAGGGCCTGGCCTGTATAAAAATGTTAATCTCTGTGTTAACATTTTGAGACAACTTTATTCCTCTGATTTTTATATTTAAATTTTTAAATTCTTTTTATTTTTACAGTGCTGGAATATAAATTCTTAAATAGTAAAAGCATAATGAAAATCATTTGAAAACCTTTTTAATGTCTTCAAAGCAAATGAGCAGTATATATGAAATAGAATGTGATGGGAGAGAAAAAACCTCCCAGTCTCATAACCTGAAATCCAAAAGAGAAGCTTCTCAGTTAGTTTGGCAGAGCACACCTTTATCTCAGAAAGACTACCTATGAATTTGAGACCAGCCTGATATGCACAGTGAGTTATAGGCCAGCCAAGGCTACATAATGATACTGTGTCTCAAAGAGCAAATGAAAACAGTGACATTCTCTATTTAACACCTAATACAGTCCAGCCTATTGACACTAACCAGCCAATCCTTAGATAATCGTAACCAGAAACAATCCCATACAACCAGTTTGGTTCAGTTACACTAACAAATCTTTTTCACACATATATAAATTTCTCCTGTCCACCTAGCAAACACTTCCACCCTTTATGAGAATGGCCATCAGGCAGAAAAGAACACCAAGGAGTCCTCTGAAGACATCTGCTCCACAGGTACCATCTGGGGCAGTATGTACACATCCTCTAGCCCGTCACAAATAACATGGGCACTACAGGGCAGCTCTCACGACTGTCACTGCAGACCTGTCCCCTTCCTGATGTCTAAGTGGCAGAGCTGACCCCATTCCTTACCTATGGTAACTGCCAAGATCTCCAGCTCCTTTTCCCTCTTGGACTCCAATTAATCATCCTCAAGTTCCCTTTTGGGACAATTCTTAAATTCTTTTATCTACTAAACCAAGAACCGGGAAAAGAAACCTATGTACATGGTGACAATTATACATGAAAATTGGCTACTCATTCATGAAGTTTCCTTGAGTTCTTCTCCTCCTCCTCCTTCTTCTTCTTTTAATCTGAATGATTTTCTTCATGTTCTCATTCCCTTCCTTCCCCTCTACCATAGCACATTCACAAGCCACACAACAATATCATGCACAATGAAGCGCTTGTAAAATGATGCTTTCATATTATAATAATAATAGCACTGAAAAGTTCCCATCACCAAAGTGATATCATAGACATTATACTTTTTCAATCACCTCTTTACAAAAAATGAAGGAAAGAGAAAAAAACAAACAAGTCATTTTTTTAAGTTGTCCTATTAAACCAGCAGTGTCCTCATGCATCTTACTTTACCACACCTCTCCATAAAGTCCTTGGTTAATCTACACAATCTAGGTTCATGCACACACACCAAGGAAATCACCTGATGACATCATAGAATGTAGGATGTGGCACTGCTGTCAAGTGATACACAACCCTATTCAACTTTACATATAATTTAGTTTGGTATTTTTATGATATATCATCTTCAATTATTCTTTAGCTATTTCATGTGCCTGACTTATTTCATCAACAATAAAGTTGGCCAAGGACATTTTATATTTCTTTGGAGCGTTCTCTTACTTAAAATTCTCTCAGGGCCAAAACAATAATAAATGTTTAATAACCGATGTTTGCTGAATAGAATTAAATAAGTTAAGATGTTTTCTAATCACAATATGACTCTGCCACGTTGATATATACATAAAACAAATATTGGTTTTACCCCAAGATTCCAACTATTCAGGCGAGCTTCAATGTCACTGTCATCCAAAGAAATAGGAGACTGTTTTGAATGAACTTCCTGAAATAACAAAATAAAACAAGGTAAAAGGGAGAAAATAAATAAGAGAGGAAACAATAGAAGAAACAAAGGAGAAAGGAGGAAGGAAAGGGGGAAATAAGAGGAAGAAAAAAAACAAGACAAAATATAAGTCATTCAAAATAATGAGCATTTTATGTACTTAATTTGGTGATGTGGTATTAGCCACAGAGGACAGGGTTGTTACAAATAAACTAGTCTCAACTCTAACTAATGACTGTCTATTACAGATGCTTAAGGCAATGAGATGCCTTAACAATATATTCACAAAGTAACTAGATTTCAAAAAAAATCAAAAGAATATTTGAAAATTAATCCAGACTCTTCTCTTTAGGTTTCTTGTACAAAAAGTTTTAATTGCGGTGTACCACAGTTGAAAGCAGGGAAGGAACTTGAAAAGATGAATTATTTACTCTCCTTAAAATTTTGTGTTGATGTCCAAGAAAGCTCTTTGTTCTTAAATTGATTCTCACTCATACACTGTATAAAAAGAGAAATAAACTCGAGACTCACATCATGAAAATGCAATTATGTGACTGTTCACTCTCCTCCTTTATAATTCATAGTATTACACATTTATCAACCAAATTAAAACTAATCAATTAAGGACAGCCTAGGAGCTATGCAGAGAAACCACCAATGATCTTAAATCTCTAGGTCCATCTGCGTAAAGTAACAACTGTTTTGCAGACTTGATGCTGTCTTCTGAGACAGGCTCTGCTGCCAGAGCATGTGTCTGCTTTTGGAGCACCTCCCTGCAAAACCCTGAGTGGATCCCCCTACCCATGACATTTATACTGAACACAGCGATGAAAACTGTTCTGCACATTCTGCTGATTTCCCCTAGTCTCTGTTCAACAAAATGTTAGGAGCTCCTATTATGTCTATCTTTAATAATTTGAGATGACTTTTACTGGTGGCTCCTGACCTTTGTATGCCTTATTTGTGAACTCATTATCTTCCTTGTAACTCAAATGCACATAACCCAAGACAGCCAGCATTAGGTAACAATGACTTTTCATAAGAACGCTTTCTCCCTTTTCACAGCTTGCTCAAATCAGTCTACGATAAGCACACTGATTCAAGAGGCATTTGTATCTGAATAAACAGTTTATTTTTTAAAAGAAGCATTTCCTTCATCACTACAAATGTATTCACTTCTTAATTTTATGATCAGTAGGATCTAATCACTCAATGTACTGAGTAAAGAGAAAAAGAATGAAAAATAGCATGTTTCTACATCACTCTTTGATGCTCAGGAGAAATGATGGGCTGACCAACACAGCTCAGCATCAGAGAGCAAGCAGAATGAATCATCTCTTTGTGACAGCAATACATCCACAAAAACCTTTACACTTAAGTTTTTCACTTAGACTTTTAAATACTAAGTGGAACTTTGACAATATGAAACAAGCTGTGGGATCTTTTCAAGACACAGGACAAAGGGAAGTAAAATCCAATCTTACACAGATCTTTGAAGCAATATGTTGTCTGTCTTCTTTATAAGTTGGACTCATGGAATGGGACCTCATCCGAAGCTTCCCAGTGTACTGTTCTCTACTGAAAGACCAAAAGAGTAACAGGTAAACTATGGAGAACTCAGGTAACAGGAATACCCAAATCTAGGTTTGCCTGCCTTTACAATGATTTTGACTCACTATACAGAAGAAAAATAGTCATGTAAATAAGTTAATAACCATTTTACTTCTCATATTTTATTTCATTTACATTAAATAATAAGATGTCACATAAAGGCCATATATTTCCTTTCAATGATTTATTTATTTATTTTTATGTATATGAGTGCCCTATCTGTATGTGAAACTTTATGCCAGAAAAGGGCATCAGATCCCACTATAGATGGTTGTGAGTAATCATGTGGTTGCTGGGAATTGAATTCAGGACCTCTGGGAGAGCAAGCAGAGCTTTTAACTGCTGAGCCATCTCTCCAGCCAGCCATACATTTCCTTAAAAAAACAAATGCTATTTTTTTTTTTTTTTGGTTTTTCGAGACAGGGTTTCTCTGTATTGTTTGGAGGCTCTCCTGGAACATGCTCTATAGACCAGGCTGACCTTGAACTCACAGAGATCTGCCTGCCTCTGCCTCCCGAGTGCTGGGATTAAAGGTGTGCGCCACCAACGCCTGGCAACAAATGCTATTTTTAACTGAGATTCTAACCACAACCATGTGTATTTAAATCATTTCTCTCCCTTCCTTTTTTCCAAGTGTTAAAGAAAGAGTAAATGAAGTGTATATTCTTAAAGAAACTTTGTCTTCAGGTTAGCAAATTTTATTACATTCAAGATGAAACCTTAGAATATACAAAGTAACAAAACTTCCAAATTGCTTAAAGTTTCAACTAATTTGAAACCATATTATAAACTATAGAACACAGAAGCTGTTAATTTAAATATAAATCTTGTTAATTCAGGCAAAATACTGTATGTCTAGGGGCTGGGGAGATGACTCAGCAGTTAAGAGCACTGGCTGCTGTTGTTCCAAGTACAATTCCCAGAACCCACAAGGCATCTTACAACCACCTCTAATTCCAATTCCAAGGGATTATCTTCTTCCCTCTTCTGGTCTCCAAGTACAGCAGGCCACACACTTGGTACACAGAGATGCATGCAGGCAAAATCCCCCAAACACATAATCTGATAAAAATTAAATGTAAGTCTAGAAAAGGGAAATTCTTTTAATAGATGTTATCAAAAAGGGCTCTTCTCTAATATAAAATATCCTATAAAACACTATTCTCTAATATTACACATTAGTCCATAGTTTTCCATACATGCCTTAATACCTACAGCCTGAGCAACAGCTTCAACAGAAACTGACTAGTAAGTGTAAACACTCTACCAGTCTTGGTTTGGCAGCTAAAATTACCACATTCAAAAACGCTGAAAATGTTAAACAGAAAAGCCTAGAAATAAACAATTCATTGAACTTTGTCATCAGCATGGTAGTACAGAAAAAAGAGTATATACAAGGATTAAGAAACCTAGTTTTTCAGAACTTACTTCCCAAAGGTAAGTTGGGAGGACATCCATATATTTAGTTTAAATAACTAATGCTCAACCATAAACTATATCAGAATTTCTTTCCTTCACAAACTTCAAGCCATAAGAATATCTGAAAAGGACAAAAGGGACAGCTCAGCAGAAAATATGCTTGCTGCCACCAATGTAGGGGCATGCCTGAGTGATACACAGAACCACACAAAGGTGGGAAGAGACCCAGTTACACAAAGTTCTCCTCTAACTCCCACATGCATCCTATGACACACATACTCTCACACACACACACACACAAACACAATAAATAAACAAGGCATACATTAAAATGAATACCCAAAAAGGCAAACTACTAGAACAAAAAGACAGTAAAGTAGGACTAAAAAAATAGCATCCTTTGGGTGGATTGCTAGGCAATGCTAAATGTCTGGATAAACTGTATTGAAGAAAACTACTAATTTTTTGTGTCTATACACCCTTCCAGCTGTAAAAATAGTTAAAAGCAAAGAGAAAAACAGATAGGCAATAATTTGAGGATAACTTCATTAGTCAACATGATTGAGCTTGTACAGGCATTTAAAATTTGGTTTATAGGAAGATACACTAAGCACTGGCCTGTTATTTTTTTGAGAATTGATTAAACAATCATAAAAAGAGCTCTAGTTAAAAACTGAAAGATGGTTAAATATTAAAAGTACTTCTCATAGAAAATATTAATAAAAAGGAAGCCTGAAATATTTATCTATTTATTATACAAGAGTGTGCATAAAAGGACAGACTATTAATTCACATGTATCTGCTTCTAGCTACCAAGAACTGTTTTTCCTTCACAATAAATCTTCTGAAAAGATCCCTACAAGTAACTACAAGATGACTTTCATTAGTCTTACCCTTCATATATGTCCTTCAACTACCCTTGAGTATCTTCTCTCTCTCTCTCTCTCTCTCTCTCTCTCTCTCTCTCTCTCTCTCTCTCTCTCTCTCTCTCTTCCCTCCCTCCATCCCTCCATTCCTCACACCCTATACCAGCTATGATCCTAGACTTCTTCATTTAACCTCAATTATTTTAATTTTATCTGCTTTTCCTGGTTAACCTAATCAATATACTATTGGTATTTCAAATAGCAAGGGGAAGCTTTGCTCACCAAATCTGCAAGCCTGGTTCAAATTACTCTTTGAAGTGGGATGTTCTTCTGTATGCTGCAAATGTTGCTCTTATTGTTTGATGAATAAAGCTGTTTTGGCTAATGGCCAGGCAGAATATAGCTAGGCAGAAAAACAGAGTTACCAGGAGTAAAAAGGTAGAGTCAGGGACATGCCAGCCAGCTGCCCAAGGAACAACATGTCTGAAGAACAGCAGAAAGCCATGACCCACGTGGAAATACATAAATTGATTAAAAATGGGTAAATTTGAGTTTTAAGAGCTAGCTAGTAATGTGACTGTGCCATTGGCCAAACAATTATAATTGATATTAAGTCTCAGAGTGGTTATTTGGGAACTGGAAGGTGGAACAAGAAGCCTCCAACTACAACACTTAGTCTTCAACTCCATCACAAATACAAACTGACCACCACTGCCTCTAATTCAACATATCTAAAACTAAACTCAGTAAGGAATTCCTAAAACATGTCCCAATAAAGGCCAAGAAAAGCAGAAGCCAGCTTGTCGTGAAGGCAATTAAGCCAACTAAGGGAGGAGTCAATACCATTGTTAGAATCTGGCTGGCACAAGAAACGGATACTAGGCACAGAAGTTTCATTCCATGCCAAGAAGCTGTCTTCAACTGGACATACAACTAACTTGAACTTGTAGGTATATACAAAGACAGCCTCAATTTTTCAGTGATCGAACTTGAGGTCGATGAAAATGTGTGACAAAGAGTAGGAGGAAAACCATCCCTACAAGTCTCTTTGTGCTGCTGCCACGCAGAATACCTGGTCCTGGTGCTTGCATAATCTCCAGCTGGTACATAGGACATGGTCATAGCAAGCTCATGCACACTTGTACAAATACCCAATCAGTAAAGGGGTGAATTAACTTCAGTATGCCAATGTTAACAGAAAGAAAAAAGTAGTATCTTGCTGTGGAATAATCCTTCTGCTTACTGTAAAAATGTGTCGCTCTCCTAGTTAATAAAAATCTGATTGACTGATAATTAGGTAAGATTTTCATGGTAGAGAGAATGCTGAGAGGAAACAGGGTAGAGTCAAGGGAGTCTCCAGTGAGACACAGAGAGGAAACAGGAGGTGCAAAATGAAATAGAGGTAATGCCATGTTGAAGAATACAGCTTAATAGAAATGGGTTAATTTAAGTTGTAAGAGCTGGTTAGTAATAAGCCTGAGTTATCAGCTGAGCATTTATAATTAATAATAAGTATCTGTGTGGTTATTTGGGAGCAATGCCAAGACACAGAGGAACTCTGCCTACACTATCTTTGCAACCTTTTCTGGCATGCCTTTTACTACTTACTATTAAGCATTAAAACTAGAGAAAATACATATTTCCCCTTTTACTTTTTCTTAGCACTAAAATATTTAGCCCTGTCAAAGTATTCCAAATACCAGCAAAATGCAGGCATGCCCTGTACTAATAAATATCTAAGCAATATTTCATGTAATGGGATATAAAATCCAAGAATATCAATTAAATGTTCCACACAAAAGAAACTTTCTACAAGAAGTAATGCTACCAAGATAGTAGAGAGATTCTCTATTCATGAACCAATTCCCAGTGTGAGCAATTGAGGAACTGGACAAGAGGCTCCTGCCCCACAGGAAGAGTGCAGCCACATCATTAAGGCAGGTAGAATGGGGTACCTGTGCCATCCTCTTACCATAATCCCTCCTCCCAACCATGTGATGACAGATGGGATCTCCAGCTCCCACTTTCATCCTGGGGTGAGGAAGAATGGGAAATGCTGCACACCACCATACTGGTTTCCCAGGTGCCTCCTGGAAGATTTGAGTTTGATTTGATTTCAGTCTTACCTGAATCTGAGCTTTTAAAGGGAGTCAGGTTGAGAACTGGTAGAACACACACAGTATGGACTCACATGCAAGCAGTAGTTAGGGTACCTCATCATCTCAGCACTGATTCATCCAAACTTTGTTTCTCCCCAGGAGGGAGACGGCTGGGACACATACCTAACACTCTGGTCTTGCAGAAGGATGCCCAAGGGACTGAATATGTAGGTAATGACAGGACCAGAATTCTCTAAGAACAAAGGCAACAGTTTGGACTTAAGTCCAAATGGATCAAAGATCTCAACATAAATCCAGCCACACTGAAACTTTTAGAAGAGAAAGTGGGAGATACTCTTCAACGAGTTGGTACAGGAGACCACTTCCTAAACATAACACCAGTGGCACAGGCACTGAGATCGACAATTAACAAATGGGACCTTCTGAAACTAAAAAGCTTCTGTAAGGCAAAGGACACAGTTAAAAAGACAAAAAGGCAGGCCACAGAATGGGAAAATATATTCACTAACCCTACATCTGACAGAGGGCTAATCTCCAAAATTTACAAAGAACTCAAGAAACA